AACACAATGTGTACACCTGTCTTTACACATACATACAAGTGTATGTGAATGAAATGTGAGTGTGTGTGCGTGCAGAGAGAGAGAGCGAGAGAGAGAGAGAGAGACTGTATGCTCTGGAGCAGTCATGCCTGTACTCGAACCCTAAATCCATTATGATTATAATTATGATTATGATTATGATTATTCTGGAGTTGGAGTCTAGCTCTGTCACCCACGCTAGAGTGCAGTGGTGCTGTCTCCGCTCACTGCAACCTCCACCTCCCAGGCTCAAGCAATTCTCCTACCTTAGCCTCCCCAGTAGCTGGGATTGCAGGCACATGCCACCACGCCAGGCTAATTTTTGTATTTTAGTAGAGACGGGGTTTCACTATGTTGGTCAGGCTGGTCTTGAACCCCTGACCTCAGTGATCCCCCTGCATCGGCCTCCCATAGTGCTGGGATTACAGAAGTGAGCCACCATGCCTGGCCCCTACATCTACTATTAATGATCTGTTTGACCTTGGGCAATTTCTTAAACATCTGTGCCTCATTTTCCTCATGAGGCTAAGATTAAATACATTCATGTAATCATGAAATTAAATACACTAATGCATAGAAGTGCTTCTCGGTGCGTAGTAAGCTTCCATAAATGACAGCTTTTTTATTATCACATAGGATAAATGAGAGATATAAATATACACAGAACAGGCATTGATTAGATTCAATCCCCTGTTCACTCAGCCAAAATTTGGGGTACCTGCTGAGGGCAACTACCTTGTCAGCTGTGACATGGGAGCCCGCAGGGTCAGTGAAGATGAAATAGGCCTCTAATGGGCATTCACGACCCTCCTCCCTCCTTGCCCATTTCTGTACCCAACCTAGCACCAGGACAGCATGGGCCACCTACACCCAGCCTGGTTGGGAATTATGATAAATGGCCCCAGTTAGTTCTAACCAGTCCTCGTTCACCCACTACCACCTTAGCTGTCCCTTTGCTCAGTGGGGATTCCCATACACGCGTCTCCGTCCCCTCCCAGCCTCACTGCGAGGGGACTCCCGCAGCCCCTTTGTGTCCTGACCATCCTCATGCCCAGAGAGAGTGCGGGCTGTGTGGTCTCATTTCCGGGGTCCTGGAGGACAGCACAGGTTGTATTTCCTATGGTCTCATTCCCAGTCACAGGGCATGATTCGGCTGCAAGATGCACTTCTTCCCTCCAGGAAAGCCAGAGGAACTTTGCATGGTAAACAGGGAAATGGCCCAGGGGAGTTACAGCCATAGACACAGCCCTTCTGGGGGTGGTGGTGAAGCCCCCGCTTTCTCCTGCTGGAGAAGTGGGGCCTGCTTGGTGCACAGCGTTCCTGCTGCCAACCTGCTTGGACACAGAGCATGGCCCCGAACCCTCCCACCATCCTCTAATATCACACCTCGCTCTGCTGGCTCCGCAGGCTGTCTGGGCATCCAAATGACCAGGACCAAAGGCTCATCCTGCATCAGGACTGTGACAAGTCTTCCAGACCTTTCTAGAAGACAGCTACACCAGGAAAGGGGAAGAGTCCAGATACACCCAGCTGTATCACTTCTGTAAAAAGCGTTGCAGTTTACGACCTGCTTTGGCAGCACCCGTGCCCCTGTGGGAGGATGGGTGTCGATTGGGCTTTCCGTGTTGCAGCGGAGGAAGCTGAAGCTCCAGGATGTCACAACTTGCTCGAGGTCACACAGTGACTATTTGACCCAATTGGCACTAAGTTTGTTTTCCCCCACCGCAGTCCAGTAAACTTTTCATTGATTTATTCACTTAGCAAATACTTATTGAGATCCTACTATGTGCAACAGGTCCTGCAGAGACAGGCGTGGGCAGGGCCAGCACCACCTCGACCTCATAAAACCTCCAGTCCTAGGCGGAAGACACACAAGTGACTAATTGATTGTAATTAAGTGTGGTGGGTGTTGCGGCAGAAGAAGTACATTTATTAACCATTCTGCTAGATGGTCTGCCGGAGGCTGGAAATAATTTTAAATGAATGAATATTGTGACCAGTCCAGACTCCAGGGACCTGTTGCTGCTCACACTTGATGTCTGCCTTCAGCGTGTCCAGCTGCTGGCCACGGCAGGGATGTCTGCATGGGGCAGATGGTGGCAGGCAGGCTCCTCTGAGTCCTCCCAGGCAGCTCAGGGGCAGCGAGGACCTCATACAAATGCACAGTGGCCAGACACAGCCCAGAGGGGTTGGGTGGAGTTTGGTGGGCAGCAGGGGTAAGTGGAGGACAACGTGGATGTGGTGTGGCTAGAGATGTCCACACCTAAGGAGCTCGCAGAAAGTGCATTCTCAGCACTCCTGTTTCAATTGTATACTAAAAAATTAACTATTTTTTTTAGAGACAGAGTCTTGCTCTGTCACCCAGGCTGGAGTGCGGTGGCATCATCATAGCTCTCTGCGGCATCAACCTTCCCGGCTCAAGTGATGATCCTCCCACCTCAGCCTCCCGAGTAGCGGGTACTATGGGTGTGTGCAACCGTGCCCAGCTATTTTTTATTTTTCGTAGCAACAGAGTCTCACTATGTTGCCTAGGTTGGTCTCAAACTCCTGGGCTCAAGCCATCCTTCCATCTCAGCCTCCAGAGTAGCTGGGACTACAGTTGCATGCCACCATGCCTGGCTGTTTTTTTTTTTT